CAAAACGGTTTTGAAAAGCTTTGTTTCTTAGCTGAACTAAAGGAGGGTTGCCACCTGTTTAAAAAATCATATTAGGTAAGAAAAATATGTATCACCATATGGGTACCAAACGAAAGGGGTTTCAGAAAGTAGTAGTTTGAAAATATTTTGAAGAGGGTTGCCACCTGCTTGAAATGTCGAATTTAGTTTACTTATACACAAGTTATATAAAACATCAAAATATGGATGTCAAACGAAGGAGTGTTAAGAAATCTTTAGTTTGAACGCAAAGAATTTTTTTGAGGTGTTGAAAAAGGGTTGCCACCTGTTTAAAAAGTTAATTTCAAATTATTTAATAAGTTTATTGTATTATTAAAATATGGGTATCAATCGAGGGGGCTTTGAAAAACTTTTACTGTACTTAGCGGGGTTGCCACATGTCTAAAAAATCAAATTCTATTAATTCATTAGTTAATTAAAATATGTATCGCTAAGTCAGGCGAAGGAGAGTTAACAAGGATTAAGCTTGAAAATACATTTAAATAGGGCTGCCACCTGTTTGAAAGGTCTAACTCAATTAAGTAATACAAGAAGTAAATGGAATATAAAAATACCGCAGTCAACCGAAAGAATGTTAAGAAATCTTTAGTTTGACCATTTGGAATGTTTGAAGAGGGTTGCCACGTGTTTAAAAAGATACATTCAAATTATTCATTTACTTAGGAGGGTTGCCATTTTTTGAAATGAAGTTTTGGACATTTTAACGCCATGCGGGTTCACTAGTTTTATAGAAATCCCACAAAAAATCTAACTACAAGCTGGTTATTATTTTTTATCAATTCATAATTTTTTCTGCAAGGTATGCTTTCACATGTTGGTATGTAAATCACTCATGCATACAAGGAATTCGCTTACTCACCAAAGGCCACCAATCCTACACCACACACACACCACACTCACCATGGGCCCACGAGCGACCCACGATCATCATCACTAACTAACAAGAATGCCATTGCGTTTAAATTGCGAGTCCCTCCTTCACAGCTGTCAGTGTTTTGATGCTGCTGCTGCTGCTGCTCTGGTTGTTGTTATTTCTGCCGCTGTGTGTTCGCTTTCGTTTGCCTTAACGCTTTTGTGGTTCTGTTGTTATTTGCTTTAGGTATTTTGCTTTTTGTTGTTGCTCATGGGCGAGCAAATGTTTGTGGCTGTTTTTATTGCACCAATGCTGATGTAAAGATAAATATGTACAAATTAATTTTTACTCTTTATGTACGAATGTACTTCTGTACTTGCATGCATATATATCTGAAAAAATGTATGTGTGTATGTATGTTTCTACACAGTTCAATAACCATAAAAGCTAACCATTTATACTCGTAGTTGCCTGGGTTTTTGGTGACCACCGTCAGTATGCTCGTTTCTCTTTTGATTGATATCAGCTGGGAGATGATGGATTATTTCAAAACAGAGCTAATGTTAATATTGAAATATATGAATAGATATGTTGTCTTTAATTACTGAGATTACTTTTGGGAAATTAAACTTCAGCCATGCATACGAATTCTTTTCTTGTAGTGGAAATAAACAAACATTTTAATGTTTGCCTGAAGACGACCGCTATTGCTATTCTTCCCTAACAGGCAAGAACGTTTTAAACATTGAAATATGTATTTCCGAAATATCGATTTTTGAAAAAAAAGATCTGTTTTCAAGCGCCATAACTTTGCGAAAAATGGGACCATTTTTTTAATTTTTCACTTTCAAAGTCCTTTTGAAACAAAACATTTTCAAAATAGAGATTGGCCCGATTGGGAACATTTTTTTTTTTAATTTTCATAAAAAAACTCTTGGAATACAATATCGAAAAAAATTGTCAAAACCGTATTTCTAAAAATTTTAAAATTTTTTAATACAGAAAAAATCTGGATCGATTTTCTCGAAAAGTTTTTCCGAAAAACTTTCACTCATTCCACAACTTTTAAGCGTAATCCAATAATGAGTTAACAATGAGATCTATTTTGTGCATTGAGTTTTTCATTAATTTAAAAATTTTTAAAAAAATTTCAAGAAAATCGATCAGTACTTTTTTTTTTTGGAAATCAACATTTTATATACAAATGAAAAAGTTTTATAGACATTATATAGAAATAGGGTTTTTTGTTTAACATTCCTAAAATGAAATTGGGCTATTTTTCGCTAAGTTATGGGCATTTAAAAGGAACGTTTTATTCAAAAAAAAAACGGCTCTCTCAATTATAGTACCAATTGAGACAGGCCTCCCTGACATAAAAAATTAGGAATGAACTCGGAATTAGGCTAGAATACCCCATATACACACATATATCCCCTTATTTCAGATATGGAAGTAAACAGAAGAGTGTTTCAGTGAAATTAAATATTTTATTACCCAAGATTGCTCTTCATTTAAAACTTTTGAAAAGTTTTTGTTTATAGTAATCGCATTAATTCTACTTCTGCTACCCTGCAAGCAGCAACTTGTTACAGATTTTTAGTTTGTCTAGAGAAAATACAATAGTTTAGACGTAACTCAAACGTAACGAATCCATTCGAAGCAATATGATTTAAGTTAAATCACAAACTCAAAATAAATTTTCCCAAATGAGTGATTATAATTTTTTTCTACTTTGTTTCGGCGACTAATGTATTCTACTGGTAACTCTGGAACAAATAAGTCCCAGGAAGCATAGCTCCAAATTGATTATAGACCCATGGTTTCTTCGGCAAATTTGCTTCTGTGCTTACCGCGCATAGTCGAAAATATCTCCCATAAAAATAGACCCGCCCTAATATATGTCTAGTATATGCGCCTATCCATCCATCCATGGGAAACTTGAAAGCTATTATTTAAAAAAAAAACAATATATCTACAAAACACTTAAATTTAAACTAAAAGCATAACAACGCACTACTTAATACTCATTTGAAATATTAAATAAAAGCAAATTCTTAATTGATTTTTCTTGATTTTGTATTTCGTTTCCTTCGATTAATAAAATTGTAGTGATTTATCCATGTATAATGCACTGCATTGTATGATTTAGAATTCTTTCTGGAGCATTCGACTGATCAAGTTTTGTTTTATTATGTTTTTATTGCTAAATACTTTTGTGTCTTTCTAATAACTTAAAGTAAAATAATTGCTAAAATTTTTTAGGGATAGCTAGGGAACATTGATGTATTTACATTAAAAATAATCAAATTGATAAACTTTGCCATGTCATGCTCTCTAGCGGTGGATTTGAGTAAAATAAACATTAGAAATTAATTTATAGTACCCAAAACCCACATAGATACATTTTCTTCCAAAAAAAATGTTACCAGGAATGAAAAAACGAAATTTGGGTAGGGATTAATAACTAAAATTAAAAATACGGAGAATTGAAATCTATTTTAGAGCTAAATATGTTTCCATGGACTTTTTTCGGTTATATTTTTTTAGAACAAATTGACCCGCCCTAATGTTCATACATTCATGTGTATGAAATAAACAGGATGCGTACATATAGTCTATTAAAAATGTGTGGTAATAGCCTCGTGTTTGCACTGATTTTGTATGAGAAAAACTGTCTGAAAATACTTTTCCGTTAACTAAAATGCACATACATACATACTTATGTACTTTTGTATATGAATGTATAGTGAATGTATAAGAGTTAGTATTTTCTTCATGTTTTTCAGAGAGGAGAGTTTCAAAGCTGGCTATGACTAGCAGACAGTATTTACTTATGTATGTACATATGTATGTATGCATGTGTGATGGTATGGTCTCATGATAAATCTCCATTAAACTTTGCGTGTTTCCAGATGGCAGCCAATTCATGTGCACAAGACAAGGTGGCACCCACGTGCCAAGTTAACTATTGTGAAATTAAATCAGAAGTTATATTTAGAAATATTTTCGGTGATTACCTATACAATGCTAAAAAAACGTGCGAACGTAATTAGTAGAACATATGTACATACATATGTGTATGTTATGAGAAGAACTTAAACACATAAACGATAAATTTCGAATATGAGTACATACATTGTATTAATGCTTTTTTTTACGTGATTAAGAATCTACTATATTTGGCCTAAAAATATGTCTGTACTTATACAAATATTTAAATTAGAACTATTCTTAAATGTTGGTCTCAATTCTCAGATGCAATCAGTATACAAATTTAGTCTTAAATTAAGTTAACATCTCCTTTCTTGGTCGACGGACTGCTGGGGGCGAAACTTATCTTGTCTTCATTCTGAGAAGGTCTAACTAGATATTTACTTTTATTGAGCAGATGAGACTTCATTCAATTGGTCACTTTTCGTGGTACAAATGTGACTGTGATTGGCATACATAACAACCCCGTTTGCCCTTTGTGCCTTGAAAAGGATGACAAGGCGGATAATATTCGGTGCAAGTATTACGTACGAGACTTTTGTTTGTGTTAGTTCGTACAAAAAAAACCTACCAAGCTTGGACTCATGAGCGTAGTTGCTGAATTTCCCACATCCTCACAGCCTCAACGTATGGCGGATCGCTTAAGTTATCGCGAAAATTAAAATGATTAGAAATGTGTTGATCATAATTTGAGAAAAAAATTTTTTGATGGTTTTCTAACCGTTCAAAACTGTCTACGCTATCAAACGCATTGACCTAGCGAAGCCACAGAGTCAGATAAGTCGGCTCGGTTTTGAGGATGATTATACGTTAAATGGCTTTCTATGGGGATTTCTGACCTTGGATTGAGAGTTTCACGAATACTTCAAATATATGTATCTTTAACATTCATTAGGCAATCTTAGAGAATCTTGAGCATTGTGAGTTAGGTACACTTCTTGGAGATACAAAAGACCGCCTTTTCGACTATGTGGCGATTCCTTAGAGGCTCATATATAAGTTCGCATAAGCGAATGCGAATGAAAATATTCGTAACATCCCTACTACAGGCATTCCCTTTTTTATTTAAATGATATTCTAACGCTTTGCGCTTTCCTTCTATAACTTTTCCTTGCAGTTCTTCGATTTCTCTGACATAGCCGAAGATGCCGCCCGCCAATTCACAGAGTTTATAGCGAATAAATTTGGCAGCGCCGGCCCACCATCGCAGCAGGCAATCACCTCCGGACTGCGCGAAGAATTGCGACGACGCGCCAATGGCATAGCCAGCTATGCATTGAATGAGGATGAGAATCTCTTGGCGTTCGCTATTGCAGCGCCGAGTATACAAACGGTTGTGGTCAAATTCAGGGATGATGTAACGGTGAGTAGCGGTGTATTACTCATTTATTTATGAATGTGCTTGCCATACAAACTTTAAACTTTACATTTTGCCACAGATACCACCGGATCAGGTACACAATAAGGCGTTTCTTGGTTCCTACTGGCGTGAGTTGGGTGTGGCGTGGAATAGCACCGAGGGTACGCAGGAATGGGGTGCACCATTCAGAGATTGTAATGTGCTGAAAGGACGTTGGTTGTGGCCGTTTCGAATTACATTTACTGAAAACAAATTAAAGTGAGTTGGGGATAAGTTACATACATATAACTATTCAATGCTAGTGGCAAGCGGCGAATGGCTAGCGATTCGTCTCCTTTGTACATTAATAAATATGTGTATGTACATGTGTACATTAGGGTGTCAGATTTTTAGTGCTTTCACCCTGCAAGGTTCCATATCGAAAAAACTATATATAATATATATAAATATATATTTTTCCCCCATATAAAATATATTGGAGCCCTTTCAGCGGCCCCTAAATATTTTTTGATTTCGAAATAAAAATAACAACAACAGAAAATTCCTAGGCTGTGAAAGCATTAAAATCAGACTTTAATTTTTTCAAATGTATTTTTACACCACCCTAGTGTACATACATACATTTGTATTTCTGTATTTATGTATGCCTTTAGCCATCAGCCTTTAGCTCGCTGAGATCATCACCTATTTTCACTCAACTTTTTTTTTTATTTGCTTTCAGAATCGGTGCTGCCGCCTTTATTGCTGCTGACGAGGATGTTTGCAATGATGGGCTAGAAGAAGTCTTCGGACGAAAGCATGGGTACATTTTAAATTCGACTCTTTTTTTCTACAAAAAAAAAAAAAAAACTTCTCTGAGAGAATAATTTATACCGTTTTCTTTAACAGCTGTGATCGCAATACCACATTTTGCCTGCTTACGGAGAATAAGCCGGCAGCTACGCGCGACGTTTACACTTGCATCTGTCGTGAATCCTTTTATTTACCCAACTCAACACTGCAAGGTTTTCGTGGTGATATTGTCGAAGCCTCCGAAGGATATAGCAACTACTCGTGCATACCCTGTCCGGATGGTTGTACGACATGTGATCAACATGGCGTTTGTTTGCTGGGTGAACCACCCGAAGTTGTATCGATGGAGAGCCTGCTGAATGTATCTGTGGGATCGGTATTGGGCGCGTGTATGCTTTGTTGCATTGTACTGAGTGTGATTGTATTCCGGCAGCGGAAGTGTAAGGTAGGGGTTTTTGGGATAAATTAAATACGAGTAAGAACAGCGAAAGACGTCTTAGGTTTAGGGTAAGGATAAGCCTTACGATAAGTCAAACATGAAAGCAACTGACATTAACTTTAAGGCTAAGACTGAAATTAAGATAATGGAAAGGATAACTATGAGGATAAGAATAAAGCTAAGGATAAGGATAGAGATAAGGATAAGGATAACTAAAATTATAGTGATAAAGATAAAGATATAGATATAGATAAGAATATTTATAAGAATAAGGATAAGGTTAAGGACAAGGAAGGAGAGATAAAGATAAAGATAAAGATAAGAAGATACGGATACGGATACGGATAAAGATGCGGATAAATATAAGTATGGGGATAAAGATTAAAACAGGGATAGAGAAAACTGAAGATAGTACATTTTCTAAGATGAGTGTGCCACTATTTGCGTTCAAAAAAACATTTTTGTCGAAAAAGGTAGCAACTCGTTGCTCACATCATACGTATGAAAAAATTTTTAGGTATCGTCTTTTTACGAAGTTTGCGCCACACCAAGCCTCATACCCACATATTTTAATTCAGACGCCATTTCAGCTGAGAACAGAAACCTTTATTAATCGACTGTCTCTACTTAATATAAAATCTTCTTTATATTATTACTTATTTATTAAATTGAATATTATTAGATTAAAATCCACATTTTCTTTCTTGCTTATATTCTTTTATTTGCTTACAGGCAATCGCTTCAGGCATGTGGACTGTGCTGGAAACAATTTTACTAGGAATCATATTACTTTATGCATCGGTAAGTGAAACTCTTAACATGTTTTCGATAGTTAATAAAAGATTTCAACGGTTGTACATGAATGCAATAAAGAGATTCCGCACAGGGGGCAAGCAAGTTTGTAGGGAGTCGCAAAATCCACAGGGTCCTTGCTATAATACAATCTAATGAAATGATGATGAGATGATCTGATGTGTCACCCACGACTAACTGGTAGGAACCTCTACCTAACATCCGAGGTGCACTTTCCTGAGTTCTTACCACTCAGCTCAAATGAAACCATCCACACGTCGATTGAGATAAAACGACCCAACGTAGAGGATTGTAAAGACGCGTGTACGATGAAAACAGAGTAAGCTTTTCACAGCCCCATCGGACGCTGGAATCTTCCCAGCTCATGTTCGAAATCGACGCCACCTACTTCACTTTTAATGCCACCTTACGGTCAGATAAATCCCTAAGATATGGAAGAGGTTAACCAAAGGCATGCCGATCCATAAGTTTTAGATCATTTGTGCTATATTTTATGCAAATAAAGATAAGTTCTTTGCATAAAAATCAATATGCCATCATAATCAGAAGCAGGTTTAAAGACACCATCTCCGCCAGTAGTCTAAATGGTTTCGGCGGCAATCGTAAGAAAACCAGCGTAGTTATTCTCCTCAGGAAAAGGAAAATATAAAACCGTTAGGACTATTTCTTCAAATATGAATGCACTTCTAAAGTCAAACATCTTTGAGTTATCCTGATGACAATCTTTCAAATGCCAAACATGTTGAAGGCACCTTTTCACTAGAATGCGGAAAGCTCTTTCAAGCTGAGGTTGATGCCAGTGGACTATGTCTGAGAGAGCGTGCAGAAATTGGAGCGATCAAAAAACACACCTAGATACATATACTCTGACAGCAGGAAGGCGCCTCTCGCACATGAGATCACCTCAAAGCTGCCTTCAGCGCTTAGCAATGATCGGAACCAGGAACATAGTTCAGCCCATTTGGCTACCGGGACATAGCAGAATCGTGGGCTGAGAAGTTTTAGATATTCCCGTCCAAAAAAGGGCAGGGATTGTTAGGCGCAGAACCCTTTATCGGCAAAATTTTAAATCCTTCGTAGCACAGTTTAATCCTTTGATTCTCCAGAAGACGTCTTTTTGGTATTTTTTAAATGACGTTTCTTTAAAGTGCATTAAAAATGGCATCTATGGCACCATGTGCGTTTTCGGTTGCAAAACTTAATTCGTCTTACATTGATTAGCATTGCTTTGCAGTACTCCTTGTACATCCTTTCTTACTCTTCTTCGTTTCTTTATTTCTAGGTTGCCGTCCATTTCTTTCCCGCTACCACCGAACGTTGCTTACTTGAACCGTGGCTGCGCGAACTTGGCTTCATCACCTGTTACGGCGCCATCATATTGAAACTGTATCGTCATCTTGTCGATTTTCGTACACGCAAAGCACATCGCTGGGTGTTGCGGGACATCGATTTGCTCAAATATTTGGGCACCATGGTATTTGCGGTCACCTGTTATATGGCCGCCTTCACTGCCGCCGCACTGGATTTGATCGAAGTGTCACAGTTGGGCTCATTGCGTGAACAACGCACCAACACATGTCGACCACTCAAGTGGGAATATGTGACACAGGTTAGCGAGGTGCTGATACTATGCTTTGGACTGCATTTGGCCTTCGCCAGCCGCAATGCCAATACACAATTCAGAGTGAGTATCTCTACATATGTGTACAGTGGAAGTGTACAGATACTTGATTATTTATGTTTTGTTTATTTTCTTCTTCTTCAGGATAGACAATTCCTTGTTGCAGCGCTGGCCATTGAATTTCTTGTCTCGACCACATTCTATGTGCTACGCTTTTTCTATTTGCCCGAAATGAGTCCGAGTGCTATTTTCCTAGCGCTTTTTCTGCGTTCTCTATTGACCAACACCATGGCGTTGGGTTTGATATTTGTGCCAAAATTATGGTATCAGCATAAGCAGGTGAGTCGGCAAGCAGATGACGAAGTTGTTGATGTTGAAGACGATGATGAAGTTGATGATGAGGATGAAGAGGAAGAAGATGAAGCAGAAATTGTATGTTAAGTTCATTTTCTAGTTTCGTTTAGTATTATTTTAAGTTACATTTATTTCATCAAGTAACAAAGAAATGAAAGTAAAGTTTAAAAGTGAAAGAGAGTCTGACTAGGAAAAAGTTTAGTTTTCCCATTTTATGATAAAAGAAACTTTGACTTCCAAAAACTAATGGAGTATATGTATAAAAAGCAGAAAATGTGGTTAGATATTTCGAAGAATTTGTAACAGTTCCTTCGAATGCTCAAAACTTTACTTTTCAATAAATCAAAGCGGTAATGGACAGAGAAAGCTGCAACTTTAAGCACGCTCACATAAATTGTACAGAGAGCTTAAAAAGCTCTGCATTAGACCAAAGCGCAGCCTATTACCTCTAATTAAAGCACTAATGGGCAAAGAGAGCTTTTACGCAGCATAGAGGGTTTCGCACGCAGGCAAGTCCCATCACCATTTGAACGCAATGTTGGTCAGAGAGAGCTTTGGTTCTGTGCCGCCATATATAAAACGCCCATAAAACATTAAAAATATTAACACAAGTGCCTATTAAGTGGCCGACAGTACTTTAAGGTGTTGTTGAGCATGACACCACCCGCAAGATGAGCTTTTTTAAGCTTTCTGTACATTTTCCATATATGAGCTCAAAGTAAAAGCACTCTCTGTTAATTAATATTTTAAAGCAGTCTTACCCAGGAGGCTTTTATTCTGTGGCTCACCATATGAAATGTTTAGACCATCGGCGACCAAAAAAATAATACACGGAGCATTCTCAAACTTGCTCATGATTTCGTATGGACGGCTATAGTAAAAGCTCTCTCTGGTAGTCATTAGTTTATTTAGCTTAGGAAAGCTCTGCACGCATTCAAAAGTTTTGCTTATTACGTCTTTAAATTGTATTAGGCAGAAAGAGCTTTTACCATGTGATGGTCCACATCAGTAATGTCAAACCACCGCTCGCAGGAAGAACTCTTTAAAGCTTTCATATATATACATATATTTTCAGCAGTAAAAAGAAAGTCAGTGGAATCCGCTTCTGTTCTTAAAATGCTTTGTATTTTTATTATTAAAAAAATTTTCTGTTTTGTTCTAGAATTTGGGTTACGAAAAGAAAATAATTTTTGTAATAAATTAAAAACATACTACTAAAACAAATGTATATATTAACAACAAGATTAATTATTATTGTAAATAAGCAAAAAAATATTAAAATTTAAGTCGAGCTATGAAGTTGCTGCAAGTGTTCTGCGTGCGTTTAATTTGGTTTTAAAAATATTTAAATTGTAATATTACTTAATATATGTTTCATTATTATTTTTTTTTCAATTTCGAATTTAAATTTTTTCTAATGAATATATGCACACTAACCTGCAAAAATGCATGCTGCTTTAAATAGTTATATACGAGTACTACTCTTTTCTTTTGTTTGTGCCTGGAATCAAGCATCCTTAATGTTGAAAAGAAACTGGAAATAAAGAATTATTTAAGATGTATAGAAAAGTTAACGCTTGTCTGTATTTCTGCCTGCCCAACCTTTATTTATGCACACCTAACTAAACTAAATAAATAAATAAATGAAACAAATAAAGAAGTTTAAGTTCGTACGAAGCCACAGTTAGTAAAATGTACTCTCGCTCCCTCACAGCTCAACGAGATCGTCTCGAGAATACATTTGCAATGCGACTCATCCGCCATGCGTTCTACCTAAATATCTATGTATGCAGTCGCAAAGAGAGCAACCTTCAACAATCAGTTTTGAGTCTAACACTCTGAATATCGTTCGACCCGTCTGTGTAAAGGCTCATTGGTCCTTCTTGCCAATTTCTGGCTCCCACCCTCTTAAACTTTGAAAAATTGTGTGTAGAGATATAGACTCTCTAATTGAATCCGTTCTAGCCACGAAATTATAGGTGCTTTAAGGAACGACGACGAGGCTTCCAACCATACTAGAGTGCCCAAGCCCCAAGACAGCTAAACAATCTGTGTTTATATGTCTGACAACAGCCCGTGCTGCAACGACTTTACCCGCTGTGTCAATAGATGCCATTTTCACTCTTTCGCCAATATTCGGCGACGTTCTAAAATCTAAAAAGAATCAAACCCAAGTACTTGGAGGCACAATTCAAAGGCCTCTAATCTGAGATGGGGTATCTTATGCTTGCTAATGGGCCAGACCAATTCTGTATTACTAAGATTTTATGACGAGTTTACAGTTTTCAAGCAACAAGTAGCCTTGAATCAAATCATATAACGCGGCCAGAAACTTGCCGCTTGCCATAAAGGCCTCGTCATTCTCGTCGGCAATTAACCGGCAACTCTTCGTCGCCACTCCGCAACCGAGTCGTTTATGAGTACTAACCAGAAATGAGGTGCGGCCAGTGTGCTACTTTATTTCGACAGCAAACGTTTCTACAGGTACATATGTCGTTGACGCCCATGGAATATGGGGGAAGCCTTCGAAGGTTCCCTGCAGGGAAACCGCGGACTAGTGAATCAAATTTCTAGTTCCGTACTAGGTCTTTATCGCCAAAAAGGAACTAGGCCGATAGGAACTAGATCCCCACCAGTCCAAAATGGGCGAAAAGTGGTACTTTTAAAAAACTAATTTTTCAGTTTTTTTCACTACAAATCTATATCTAAAGTGACGAATTTAGAATTGGTTTGGAACTATAGAAAAAGGGATGCAGAACGAACTATATCCTATTTGTCGAATTTAGAACTATTTCGGAACTATTGAATAAGGGATGCAGCGGGGGGGCTTATTTACTTTACACAGATATGTGTTCCGGGGCTTTTTCGTTCAAATACGCTTCTATTCTGTGCTTCGCAGATGCTATTTCATAGTTTGGTAATACAAAACAAAGTTTTGTGTTAACATATTAACATCTTGGGACCGTCTGGAATCTAACCAATAACAGCGAGCACCTCTGCAAAGTCAGCTACAGCAAGGTATGTAAACGTACATTTCGTACAATCATTCAAACAAATTTAATTTCAAATTGAAAAAAACGTTTCTTTGAAAATAATGTAAAACCGCACACGACAGAACTGAAAGGTTGAAAAATCATGATACTTTTTTCTTTCGTCTGTCGATTTTAGAACTGGTTCGGAACTATAGAATTTAGGACTAGTTCGGAACTATCGAAAAAGGGATGCAGCGGGGGCAATTGACACTTCCTAGGACATCGCCATGTTAAATTCGCCAGTTGCTTGCATGCAAAAGAGATTTATCGCGAACCAGTACTGGGTCTAAATGTACTAGAAGCGCCCCAGTTCAGAACTAGAGATTTTCCCCACAGGGTTACGAAAGCCATCCATCTTGAACTCGCAATACCAACCTACATAACTTGGTCTTGGCAAATGAATATGGTTGTTGGTCAAATTATTGAAGCGGATGCATTGCGCACTGTCTATTACAGGAGCTTTCCAAACAGATCCCTCTGTCCAATTCATCGTATGGGAGGAGCATGCGAAGATGTGCTTGGTATTATCAGCGCCTTATCACATTTCTGCACAGGTTTTGGCTTATTGGGGGCTAGCGGCCGATCTGAGTAGAACCAAGAATTTTGTAGGCTTTATACTTATGTACATACATATATGTATATTTAAAGCTTCATTTTCTTAATTTTGAGTTTGGGGGACAGTGGTCACACTTCTTCTAAGAGGTTCTTTCTATTGTCTCTGTCATTTTCCGGAATACTTGTTCATATATGCTATGTGAAGATGGTTCTTTAGGCTGAGCAGAGCGGGGGAAAAGTCCTATATGATATTCCGGAACCAGTTTTTCTTTCGTATGGGTGAAAAGTGATTGGCTGTTGGTTATGGAACGACTATGGTTAAGACTAGGCTGGTTAAATGTATCTCAACTGATACTTTTTATGTGGGGATTCAAGAGGAATTAGTTAGTCGAATTCGATCATGCATTCTTCTACTCGCTGAGATGATTTGCCGAATGTTATGCTCCGCTTCAGACGTATGGTGAAAATGAGAAAAATAAATTGTAACATCCGAAAAATAATTGAGATTATTTGCAAAGCACGTTTTGGTTATGGAATTGCAAGTAATATACGAATTGACGAAATTATAAGTAATTTTTAAGCAAAAAAACAAAACCGGCTTCAATTCCCATATAAAAGTTTAAGATTATCGTTAATTTCTTCATGGTCCAATGATCGTATTTAAACCAAATTAGTATGGATCCACTTCCCTGCAAACCAAAGTTCCCGAAATCCTAACGAAATCTTTAAGAGTATCTCATTGCTGTAACGATTTTTTTTAAAGAAATTTTTTATTAAATTTTATCTTTTTAAGTTAATAAAGTTTGCATGACGAAGTTCGATGATGAGGTCGTGCGTATATTAGTTCTCAATCAATAATTTTTTCAAAAATAAATATTGCAAATGTTCAAGGATATTTAAGGACAAAACTTGTAAAGGACATTTTCTATAACCATTCGTCCTTATGCACAAAAAAATGTATTCTGCTATAATTGTACTGAATTTTTTCTTGTATATTATACCCTTATTTTTATCCTACATTGCACAAAATTTTTAAAATAATTTTTTGAAATAATCATATTTTTTAAATTTCGAAGTCCTTTTAAAAAAATCCTGATGTCAGAAAGAAAAACTAAGTACACAGTTTTACTATAATTTACCCATAGTTTCGCGAATATATTCATTTTTTTATGTGTAAAATTTACTGTCGCACGGTGTAATATGACGAAGTATTTCAAAATTTCAATTTTGTGGGAAAACGCAATCAAAGTTTTATCAATTCATACAGTTGGTATACAAAAAGACACATATCTTCGCCATAGTTATATGGGAACTTTATTTCAGGGACCGAACATAACTGTTATTGATGAAAACTGTCATGAAAAAATCCACTATGAAGGAAGTGTTCTACAACTAAGTCATACATACCAAACGATTTCTTGTTCCACCGAGACTCAAATTTGAAAATAAATTTTTATTTGCAATTTTTATGCAATTAACAATTATTTTTGATTTTTGTATTATAGATCCAAAATAACAATTATTTTTAATTTTTATATTATATGTCTTAGATAACAGTTATTGAAATAAAACATTGAATAAACGTCATCAATAAAAATCAGTCAGTGACTCTAACTTTTAAAATAATTATTTAAATAAAAATCAAAATTAATTGTTATTTTGGATTTATAAAGTAAAAGTCAGAAATAACTAAATTAATAAAATAATAATTAAATAAAAGTTAAAAAAATAATTGTTAAAGAGCGACTTTTTTAATAAAAGTTGTAACTGTTACAGTCGCTAGCTTGGTTATCTGTTTGACTGTACATATTCTACTTATCAAGTTTATTAATTGCATAATGAAATCTTCAGAAAAACTTAAATTTTGAGTTACATCTCTATATTATTAAACGTGCGACTTTTTTTTTTTTGTAAATGTTACCTTCCATAGTTATTAGTCATAAAAATAATTTCTGTGGCATGAAAGGACCTGCTTTTGTTGTTCTTGTAAATTGCGATTATCTTAAAAAAACGGCAACGTGAAATCGAATCTTAGCACAAAAAATGTTTTAGTGTGAATAACCAATATATTCTGTTATCTTTAGAACATAGCAGCATGATTAAAATTCCAAATCTGCATGTGTTTTTAATTGAAAAATGCCTTCCAATTTTGTTTGCCTCTTTTTGCATTAAATTTGTTTGCCCCTACTAACAATTACCTCTTTGGTAGATATTGCCACTAAAATCGTTTAAATTACGCTGACAAAAATCGGTTCTCTATTCTCCTAATAGAAATTATCTAAGCATATAAATGTAACTAAATATATATATTTTTTTAATAAAGTCCCTTGCTGGTGGATAGAGCAAATGCCCATACATTTTTAGGTGTTTAGCAATATTAACTCACTATTGCCTACTGCTGACTTTCTCTAAAACGTACTTATTTATTCACAATGAGCAGAACAATATTTATACTTACATACATATTTTTAATGGCAAGTTTTATCTTGCTAAATTTATTATACATATATATTTTTAGTACATTTACGATTTCTTTATTTTTTATACTTAAAGTCATGCACATTAAAATTTTTATTATTTTTTATATCAATTTTGAATTTTGTTTTTTTTTTTTTTGTGAGACATTAAAATACTATCTTAACATAATTTTAAAACCGATACGCTTTGTTTTCTGAATTTTTTCACGCTTACTATCGATACGATTTTCATCGCGTGAGAAGACTTGAAGTAAATGTGTTTTTTTGTATTGTACCTACTATACTAATATGTTGGATTGTATTACAAATATATTAATGAACTATCGGTACTTGTTAGCCCATTACCCTAAATAGAAGCTGGCTGCACAAGAATTTAAAGAAGTTTTTAACTAGATCAGATCAGAGTGAAGAACTTGAGCTACTTATTCCATACTAATTTCAACCATATGGCTCGATGAAATGTGGGTGGCTGATGAGAAGAGGTGGTTGTAAAGGTCGTGGTTGGACATATGTTGAAAAAGAATGTGCTCAAAATTCTGCTCTTTGTTAGTAAACATTTTCTTTAAAGCCCGATCGCTGCCCTAAAGGTGCTTAACTAGGTTAGCCGTAGCTCTTGCAAAACTGATTTTGATGATACATACGTTAGCACTCCACTTCGCCTATTCTTATGAGCTGGAAAATCGTGCTGCTATGGCCCAGGGGTGGCCATCGGATTGGACTTAGGCTAATTGTTGGTCAGGCCGAACGAGGCGGCAATGTCTTATCCAAACTGATCAGTCGTTAAATTAAACCACTCCTCATCAATGGCTTGCGTAGATCGTATTCTAGGGGGACCGAGATGAGTAATCTTCCTATTCTATTAAATTTTGCATTGGATCATAGCAGATAGCTCATCCGATAGCAAATCTTTGCTAATGACTCTAGAGAAAAGATCAAACCCATATTTAGGTTGTCGCACAAGTATCTAACAAGACTATCCAGATTTCATGGACATGTAAAATATGGGGTCATGTGGAAATTATGCAGCTTCAAAAACAAGGCAATTCCGTCCATTGTAGCCATTGAAGCTCGGCTATGGATCAGCCTCGTACTGACAATACAATTGCAGAAGTTTGGTTGCCTTATAAGTGGGAAAACATTATACAAGATGTCCACGAAGTCATCCAATCCATATACGCGTTGTTTAAATACGCCAGTGCGTGGGACTCTCATCTTAGAGAAAAGCTCCCTCACAGGTACGCTGGAGACGTCAGTGATGGTGGGACGCTCCAGAATCCAAAGCACGGACAGAAATGCAGTAAAATTTCTACATCACATAGTTTAACAGTTTGACACAACTGTCAGGCTTCAGTAGAGTCGTTCTGGTATCGTGGTCGGTATTTAAAATTATATTTTCCCCGTTATCCTCCTAATTCCCAGTGGATTTTAGTCGTCTTCTACGACAAGCTAACTACCTGAAGAAGAATGCATAGACCCAAAATGACCAGAACTCGAGCTGAGTCGAAACAGTTGCCGTTCGGAGGCGATACAAAACTGCCAGTAAAACGCAAACCAAAACTTGGGAAATAGCTCAACTAAAGGTTAAATTAGTGGTGACATAACCATAATCATATAAAACAACCTTTCCAACCAACCTTATGGCCAACACTGTTTCAATTAGTGGTGCCCACCATAACGCCATAGCCATAGAGACCCATTGAATTTTGGTTTTACGCCATAACCATAATTAGCTGATATCTGAAGTGCGAGTAAGAACGTGTTGCCAGACGTTCAAAAAATAAAAAATAAACTATTGTTCACAGCCAATTTATTTGTTTTTTTTAGAGCTTTCAATGAAATATGTGTTTGCTCAAACTACGAAAAAATCACAAGACCATGCAAAGTCTAAAAAAACACATATCGTGTGTCCTCTGCAATAACGACACAACTCAAAATTTCCTTGATATATGTAAGAGGATTTTTCCAAAATTTTTTATTTTTTTTTTAAATTTTTCCACGTTTTTTATCATTTATCATTTATTTCAAACATATTTTTATTTTCTTTTTTATTTTAGCGCCAGCGCCATAACCGTACACTATAACAAACTTTGCACCAATAATTACTCCACTGTAGTACAGCAAAAACAACATCATTGCTTACCTTACCAAATTTACACTCAAAATATAAGTACTGAAACAGTAGAGCATTTTCGCCACAAGTAAAAGTGAAAAGCAAAAACAAGAAATTACCCTACACAAAAAATTACATAACTAAATACTTAGTAAGAAAACACAGCTTAGCATTCACTTCGCTCTCTATTACATTTTTTTCTGATTTAAGTGCATTTAATTTCCAAATTTTTCGTTACATAAGCATTTTTATGTTATCTTTTTTTTACTTTTTCCGTCACACTGCTCAACTACTTACTATTTCAAAAGTTTACTATCGTTAAATACCTATTTCACTCTGCTTTGCATACCTCATCTATCGACTTAGGTCATTTTGAAATTTCTAATTTCAACTTATTTTTTTTTTTTTTTAATTTCATAACTTCACTTACATTTCTTAAATTCTCTCACTTCTCTGACATCTCGTCGTATGTACCCTTCATAATTTTATGTTGTTGTTATACCTGTTGTTATTTTTTTTTTTTGTTTTTCTTCTGTTACCTTTCTTCGTGTGTCTTGGCAGTGTTTGTTGCAAATTCATAGCTTGCAGGTTCCCTTGCCCATGAATCTATCAATACGTTTACCTGTGGATGCTTTCAAGGTCAACGATCCCCAACGTCTTGGCGGTGGTTATGCTGGTCTTTGTTTGGGTGATCCCGATATTGGTGAACTAACCATTGCCGAAATGAGCCCAGAGGATATACGCGCTGAACTCAAAAGGTTTGTATGCATTTAATGAATGAAATATTTTAGGGCATAGTTTAAAAAAAACCAACTTTTTTTGCAGACTGTATACACAACTGGAAATTTTAAAAAATAAATCTCTACGCCAGGACAATCCGCATATAAGTAAGCGACGTGGCGGACGAAAGGCTGGACATCGTCGTTTCTCATTGCAAGTAAGTGGAATAGCAGCATCGAAAAGCTGCGAATATGAATTGTTTGTGTAATCATGAAAGATATAGTAAACATATTTAATTGTATCAACATTTGCCATTATATAAGTAGTACATTAATATAAAGCCATACATAATTTATGTTCTATAATTAGTATGTATGTATGTATGTTTGAGTGGAGAAGTAGGTACTATGTACTCGTGTATAGTTACTTTTTGTACATAATCAGTTTTTTTTAACCAATGTCCTATTAAAAAAATTTCGTAAAAATTCATTAGCTAAGAAATAAAGAGTAAAAATTTGTGAAGTGGGCCAAAGTCTTTTCGAATGTTGGGGTTTGTTTTTGTGGTATTAATTGTTTACATCGTTTAAAAAATACAAATTTGATAATTTTTCGAAATTCGAATCATTTTGGAAGTTCTGCTAATTTTTTAAGAAAGATGATGTTGTCCCATTTGTATTCAAACCCAACCCTTGATTGGCCCAAAAACCTTCTGTCAAAGTTAAACACTTGGATTTGATTCTCGATCGAAAGCTGTCGTGGAATCAGTGGAGCACTTAGCACCAGTGTTGCTACTCACTAAACTTTTTTAGTCTGACTGTAATGTAGTCAACATTTTTTTAAATTTTCTATTATATTTTTTTTTCAAAATTCTGCCCATTTTTTGTAATATAGTGCTTGTCAAAATAATAGCGTCACAACAAATTGATAAGTTTTGACAATTTATTTTTATTATTTAATTATTTTTTGTCAAAATAAAGTTCATTCTGTAACAAAAACCATACACTAAGCCCAAGTTTCAAACTTTATAAAAAAAAAAACATTATATAAAAACAATCTAAGCCTAGGGGCAGCCAGCTTAACCCAAACTAATACCTTTAAAAATATTTCGTAAAAGAGACATTAGCTAAGAAATATAGAGTACAAATTTATGAAGTGGGCCAACATTCTCTCGAAGGTCGAGTTTCTTGTTGCCTGCGACACCACTATTCGTATGATATACATACATACATATACAAATGTATGATAGCCAATCTTGACTTCAACTGTTCAAGCGTTCAAGTGCGATTTCAGTAGAGAATAGGGAAAGGGAGTGGCCGATTGCTTTGCATCGACTGATTCAAGATCGACTGCACTGTAGGAATTATAGCATCCATAGCGGTCACTGGGCCTAAGGCAAAACTGCGGAATGTCCCTATAACAGAACAGAACTTGCTGCAACTGCCGGCAAGAGGATAGGGAAGAAAGTGTTCAACATTTCGAGTGTGAATATTATGTAGGCACACAATACTAGCAATACACATATGTACATACATATCAACTCAATTAGCGGATTCATAAAAAGCTTCACCAAGCAATATGAGATTTACAAAAATAGATAAGGCAGATTCAAAGATGAGTAGTGCTCGAAATCAATCTGATTAATCCCTGATTAATTTCATATAACTAGAAAATAAAAGTACATCTGTTGTTGGAATATCATACCTTCTGAAATTAACTATTTAACATAGTAGTACATACTTACATATATCAGTACGTAAGTGTTCCCACCCAAGTAGTTTTATAAATATACTTATATGTATATACCATATCTAGCTATCTGTACATCCCGCTTCACTCGAAAAGGTATATTTTTTTCTTCGGAAACCAAGCATCGTAAGCAATACGTTGTAGTTATTGCCTATCGCAGTGCTCTTTCGCATCGTATTACAGAGTAGCTCCCATTTACTTATAGGAGAAGCTTCGAAGAATACCTCAATGGAATAAATATTTAGGGAATCAACCGAACTTCGCTGAAATATTAGCATTTTTCAGGGACCGAGAACGCGTTCCGGTTTTGGTTTAGTTCTGCATGAGAGCAAAATGTAGTGTCAGGCAGGTTCCGGCAAAAGAACCAAACGGGCACAAAAGTATTGAGAACAGTTTGAACGGGAACAAAATGAAAACAAAAGGTTCAGGAACGTTTCCATAAAGAACAAAATGCGAACCAAACTCTCGAGAACGTTCTCAAGAAGAACAGAAAGAGAACAAAATTTCCGGGAACGTTTCCAATGAGAACGAAAGTACCGATAACGTTTTGAAGGAGGACCAAATAAGAACAAAAATATGAGGCACGGTTTTCTGAGAACAAAAGGTTCGAGAAGAAAATGTTAACAATGGGAGGGGCGTCTGCGTGTTGGGATGAAAAACCGTTTCAATGAGAACCATGACTGTTAATTCTAAACCAGAGGAAAGCTGGATCATTTAAATTTCCAGATCCTTTATCATTATGATCCATTACTGTCCAGTTATGGAAATTTTTTTTGTCATTTTCTGTGCAAGAAGTTTGTTTCTTAAGTCTTTTGTTGGCTTAATTTGAGTTCTTTTTTGATTAGTTTTAATATTCAAATATTTCGAACTAATGGGACGCTATGAGAAAAAATTTGTTATCGCTTCCATTCTTCCCGAGTAGTTCAGAGAAGACTTGTTCCCGTTTTGTTCTCTATCAGAAAGTTCCTTGGACTTTTGTTCACGTTTTGTTCTTCGCCAGAACGTTCCGGAAACATTTGTTCTCTTATAAATGTTCCCAAAAGTATTGTTCGCATTTTATTCCCTTTGGAAATGTTGCACAGGGTTTTGTTCTTTTATAATTCCCGTTGAGAACGTTCTCGACAGTTTTGCTTTTTTCACTTTCATTCTTGTAACAACACTCCCAAAGGTTTTTTTTTCTCATTTAGGTTTGGGTTTTTAAGCGTTCTTGGGAACAAAGCTACGAGAAAGACATTTAGTTTCGATCAAACCTTTTGTTCTCGGTCCCTGGTATTTTTTTAACTGTTAATTTTAATTAACTTCTTTAAAAATCGATCGGTTGGACTCCCAAGGATGAACTTATTCAATTAAAGAGGAGGTGCACGCAGTTTAGTTGTTTCTAAAAAAATTTTGCTGTAAACATCCATACATACATACATACATACATATAAATTTTTACTCATACATGTATACATAGTAAATATTTATATTATTCTCCCTCAAAAAATTTATCATTAATACCTAAATAGTTATTTTTGTAACCATTTCGTATGTAATTCTATATGCTTAGTACATAGTATGTGTTCATCATTAATTTATCATAAATGTTTTCGTTATTAATTTCGTTACATTGTAGAAAAAAGGAAGCAAAGATAAGGTAAGAGCCGTGCTAACAACACCTACAAACATATATAGGTTTTCTCCCACCGTGTGTAGATAGTAATCGTAACTGGACTCCCTCAATTTTTTCCCCAAAATAAAATTTTAAGCAATTTAAATAAAACCGTGTCGTCCCACACTAAACCCCAACGTTTTCCTCTTGTACTCTAAATCTCTTATCAATTTTATTGTAAACCCGTTTAATATGTATATTTATCATCCTGTATATAACTACTTAGTGTATCTCACTAAATTTTATAAAAGTGTGCTGTGTGTGGTTGACTATATATCAAATCGGGAGTAGAATGTGTGAATATAAAAGGGCAGTTATTTCTTTAGAGGCTAAAACTTACGAAGGATCTGTATTAAATAATTCAATTCAGAATAATAATTCTTTGCCAGTTTTCGAATGCAGATTATCCTGATTTTTTTCTATAAAGAGTGGGAATATGACGAAATACCAGACAAGCGTGTAAAATTCGAATTATAAGCTTGTCTTCTCCACATTTTAGCATTAATTAGTCTGCTACTCGGAGAATTGGTTTTCAGGAGTGTATTGTAAGTGTCAAGCAGCATCGAGGTATAAGATCCATCAGTTTTTCTGAGAGAGTCAAGCCTAACCTATAGACCATGTTGATGTACTGGATTGATTTTAAGTTTTTAAGTTTAGGAAGTTCTGGAATACTAGTGGTGGACTCTGGGTTACCATTCGAAGTTTTCAACATTTTAAATTTAGCGAAGACCATTCATCCTTAGACGTGATCCCGCATAACTTTGTTTATTAATATCATATAAATCGCTTCTTGTATTCTTTTAGTGTCTGATGTAGGTTTGTAGCCTATATTCCGTATCCCCAACGCGTATCATAGAATGAGGTCCAATAGTCCATGGTTAGATTGAGACTAGAAATCTCACTCCACATTTAGTATATCGATGCCATTAGGAATATTTTGAATTTGAGATTAGGCGGTAAAATCTTCAAGTGTACAGGCAATACTTTACGATTAGATATTTTACTGAAAGATTTAATATACATACAAATCCTACTCTCTAGTACGTTTAACTTCTTTTTTTTTGATAGAATCTAGGTTGAACCACAGCACTCACTCCTAACTGTCCTCCTTTAAAAAATTCTTTATGTGCATAAGTATGCGGTCTGCCTTAACTGTATAAAACAGCACTCGTGTACATATGAATTTGTATATAAACTTCCTTTCCCAATTTGCTTCCTTTGTCCATTAGATATATATATCACATTTTCGTAGACTTAAAAATTTTTTTTTTGTTACACCTATTCATACACTCAAACATTAGGTTGCTTCACAAAAAATAGTTGCTGCTATTCTAAGCGATTCATAAAGTTTGTTCACTTTTATACCTATCATCAAATTATTTGGGCTGAAGTCTGCGTGATTCGCGTCCTGGACATTTTCAAAACTACATCCTAAAATCGCGTTTTGCATTCGAAAGAATATATAGTTAGGTAGAAATCTGTTTTTCTAGAAAAGAAACTTGATGGAAATATATGTTATTTAAAGTTAAGAGATTTGGGAGTAACGACGTGTTAATGTAAATTTTGACGGTCATGTTAGATTTTCACATTCAAGCCATCAATGAAAGGACATTTCGCGCTCGCTATCAGAGTTGTACTAAAGTAACTCGTGTCTCACAGGGTAACTCGTGCTCTTAGTTTGCTGGAGGTGGTGGCTGCTTTCAGAAGGTGGCACTCACGGCGTTCTCGGCGCAATCCGAAAAACCGTTTTACTGCCAAATAATAAGAAGAAGAGCAGGATCTCAACTACCTTAGGTTGCCAGGTATCAGTCGATCTTATCCTATGTTGGAAACTCACCATGAACCTAAAATTCATGTTTACAGACCATTGTTGTGTGTTGTCCAGACAAAGGTATATATCGCTAGCTTAGAGTGAAAAGTTGCTAAGTCCACTTTTAATGAAAACTCATATTTTGATATAGGAGGCTAGAGAAATTGAATACGCATCGTTTCGAAAATTATAAAGGTACTTGTTTTATTTTTTCCTCTTCATAAGCAATAAAAGGAAAATTTGCTAAGTCCAAAAGAAGCACCACAAATCCCATAAGGCCAAAATAATACGACATCTTTTAATAAATATCGAATCCTTCTGATTCTTATGGAGTTTTGCTTTGCTTTAAACGCGCAAAATGTTTGATTCAAAGTCTTGCGAAATAGTTAAAGAAAATGGCTATAGGAACATTTTTTCCTCTCCTTTAAAATTTTTAAAATGGGACTTAGCAACTTTTCTTTCTAAGCTAGCGATATATAGCTATCTTTGAGGAAGCTATTACTGAACTGCGACGACGATAAATGTCTAGTCTAATAGCTAATCGACAACCAATGCCGCACTTAGTCGGCGAGCGCATTTTCGCACTTTCGATTGCGTAAGAATACTTTCTAATTGGAATGATATGGGACACAGACCATAGACATTGCCTATGAGTTGGCTATGAAAGGTGGTCTCGGAGGCTCACCCAGCAAGGAGAGAGTGGGAGTATGTATGACACAATTCAGTTCAGGGGGAACGTTGGAAGATTATTTAACTCACAAAGTCGTAGCGATCGATTTTGGTAACGATTGTGACAGAGTTTTGATGAATACATATTGATCGCGGTCCAGCTCAAGAATGACACTGCATTGAGCCAACAAAATTTAGATGAAGTAAACCAAACTTTATTAATTACGTGGGAAAGAGAGGTTCATATGAGGCAGCCTAGCATTTTGCGTACACATTTTTTTTATTGCTTTGACGGTAAAAATTGCATGCAAACGCATGTGATTTTGTGTTTTGTTTAGTTTTTTTGTTGTCCATACAAGTGATAAGGTATTATACTTATTATAAGGCTACCACTGATTTCTTTTTTTTTGCAACGGAAAAGCATATTTGCACAATACCAAATAGATGTTCGTACTAAGTCCCTATATTTTTTTTTTGTCTATAGGAATTGTGCTTTATTAAATTTAACTCATCTCTTTTCAACTCACAGGCTCTCAGTGCCAAACATCGTAGCAACAAACATCATCAAGATATTGAAATTACCGAAGCCGAACCATCGCGCACACCCGAGGACTCAGTATGCAGTGTTGAGGGACCAACAGATGCCGAGATATCAGGCATTTCGCATTCAATGCTATCACATTCGGCTATTTCACACTCCATTATATCGCATTCGAAGTGAAATACAAAGTCGGTGACTTGGGTGTAAAATAAGTAATAAAACAATATATGTATGTATGTGAAATGCGGAGAAAATTAAGAAGCAAGAAAACCGAAGTGAAAGAGCTAAGTGATATGCAACAAGGTGTTTGTTTTGCAAAAAAAGTCAGTTTGTACTGGAAAATGTTGACGCTGCTCTTAAAAATATGAAAGAAAAAAATTTCTGAGAGGAATGTAAAAGATAATGAAACTTACTTGTAGTGAATGTGGTAAATAACTCACATATGTATAGGAAACATATGTACATATGTATGTACATAAAACCAGCAAAATATGTACATAGCTACTCTTCAAATCAAATTTGATATTGAAAGCAGTGTAAATATTTTACAATTATTTTTTACGATTTATGTAGGTTTTTTATAAACAATAATTAATTTAATTTAATTTAATTTTTTTTTTAAATAAGAAAAACGTAGATTATATAGGGATAGTAGCTAATATTACTTTTTTTACAAATGCATTCGAGATAAATATGTACCTTAAATGCTTACTTTTATTTTTTTAGTTTATTTACAGTCTAAAATATTTTTTTTGTTCTAAAAATATATTTGCTATGTAGAAAGATCTTTCACTTAAATAGATAACCAAAAAAAAATAGCTCAAACAACGAATTACATACAAACATGTACTCGTATATAGTCCAAAATTGTATACGATGATTTTATGCAATACTACATTGCAACAACAACAAAATTTTTAAATAAAAAATTCACATATAAATACATATGTATGTATTTCCGGATGAAAACTTTTTTAAGCTCTTTGTTTTTGCAGAGCTCGACACTTGAAACATAGCTAAACAGTTTTTATATATTGGCGGTGAAAAATGGATGAATGGTGTTTCGTTTTTTATATTTACAACGTTTTTCAAGCTAAAATTTTGTTTATAAAAATATGGTTCATGCTTTAACAAAAACAGTATAAATAAGTTTTTCAAACCTTATACAAGAAAAATTCCTTTATCTAAATTTCGTGCTTATTAACCAGAATTTTTAGAATTTTTTTGGGTATTCAGTTAACAAGCTAAAACTCTAGTAAAATAAGTGCAAGTTTTAAGCGGCTAAAAAGTCGCATTGATTTATAATTATCTTTTTTTTGTTGATAGTGTTTTGCACTTTTGTCCATATAAACATGAATTTCTTATGGATGAATATGCGTAAAAGCCGTCAGCAAAAAAAAATTATTAAAAATCAATGCGATTTTTTAGCCGCTCAAAACTTGCACTTATCTTATTTTACTAGAATTTTAGCACGTTAATTGCATACCCAAAAAATTTCTAAAAATTCCGGTTAAAAGGCTCGAAATTTAGATAAAAATTTTTCGAATTTATTAAAGTTCTGTATAGAGTTTGCAAGTGTGATTTATATATTTTTGTTAAAGCATGAACCATATTTTTAGAAAAAAATATCAAAAAAATTTTAGCTTGAAAAATATTGTATATATTAAAAAGACACACCATTCATCCATTTTTTACCGCCACTGTATGTATGGGAACCCCATTTTAAATAATTTCTGGTCGAAGTATGTATCTTTTAATAATTTTCTGTTGAAGGCTCTATTTTAATACTTATTTTTTTGCATATTTACTTTATATTCATTAAAGGTGGCAACATCTTCAAATTATTACATACATACATATTTACATACAAATGTATATTGAAGTGTTTTCGAAATGCTTTCTGTACATTGTAATATTTTAGCATTTACATACATATGTATAATTTATACAAAAACCCCTGTACTTGACGACTTTATTCAGTATTTATTATTATGGGGCCACGTACACACCCTGAATAAACCAAAATTATATAAAGCATAATTGCCCTTTTCAAACTTTAAGACCCAAAAAAGCGTGAGTACCACGTACGAAATGATCCCGAACTAGTCCCGAAATTATACTGAAGTGGTTCTGAAAGAGGCGTGAACTTACCGCGAAATGATGTCGAAAAAGTCTTGAAACAGTCCAGAAATGTTCCTTTACTAATCCCAAAATGATTCCGAACTAGACCCGAAATGCTTCTAAACTACATAGTCCCAAAATGATACCCAAATGTTCTCGAAATGAGTTACCATGCTTGGAGTTCTGAGCCGATCAACTCCAGTCCTTCAGCGAAGGCTTGATCATCGAAAAGCTGGCATAGCCTACGAAGTTTAATAAAGTTTAAAAATCAAAAGGCAATATTCTACTAACCGATTCAGCTTTGGGGACGTTAAGGGTTATTTTTCCCCATAGAAACCGTAAATGAGTTGATCTAGAAAAACGACAAAATACGAGTATTTTTTTGTCGCTACTTTCCGCAAATGATTCATTTTTATGTTCGTGTTGGACGGTTTTAGATAAACCACGAACCTTTTGAAATAATCGCTTAGTGGAGAACGGTTACAATCTTTTTGGAGTGACAGGAGAAAATAATCGTAATAGAAAGAAACAGTACACCATTTTCTTCATCAAAGCCCTATTTACGGTGATTTTTTTCAAAAGTTTTACTGTAGTTTTAGTCCATCTAAGTCTTATTTGAACGTTGGATTGCATTTCAAAAGTGGTAATCAACAGATTTAAATGAAGAACTATGTGATGAGTAGCGCTGGCAAAAATATGCAAATACTTGAAAAAGCTTATTTTGCGTATTATTGACAATTTTGTTGGTTTTTGCTTATATTCGACTTATATGAACGCACGTCCGACCGACCAAGCAATTCCGATTAAGCAATAAACCTGTTTTATTTTGGTGGTTACAATGCCGAAAGATTGCTAATTTAAAAAAGAGAGTTATTTTATACTGTAATTGCGAGATAACTGAATAAAAATACTGTAAAAATTAGATGAAACCTCATTGACAGTGATCAGAACTAGTGATGTAATCTGCTACTTCTTCTATAAACAAAATTATTTTCAATCGAACTGCTCCTCTAACGAAATGTATAATTTTAAAATTAATCAATTTCTTAGTTTTTTTGTTTAAGTAGTACATAATAAAAATAGATACTTGTGATAGTTATCTATCTATTTTTTTTATCAAAAGGGGTTATATGCGATTTGAGTGTATCTAAATACATAAATCAATTGACTCAAATAAAAATAAAGACATGTATCTATAGAACAGTATAGTAGTTATTTGCTAATAAAATGTATTATATTAATAATAAAATAGGACATACGCTACATAAATTATATTGGTAAACATAAATAGTTGAAAATAAAAGCGATACAATATGAAGAGCAAAGCCCACCTCTGTTGGAAACAATGAAAACATTTACTTTAGAATTGTGCTGAAAACGAAGTTGCAACGTTTTTTTTTGGAAATTGTTAAACAAACACAAGCACTTTTTAAAAATTCAACAGAAAATTGCAAAAATAAAATGGAAAACCAAAAATTAGGAGGAATAAAAAAAAATTGTTGATATCAAATTTGTATGTATGAATAGATATGTAAATGCTGTGGAAAAAGTGTTAAAACAAATTGGCAAATTTTTCTAATTGAAATACTACTACAACCATGAAAGCGGCGCAGTCAAACAGTTGCAGGCTGTCAATAAACGCGCCTGAAAGTAGGCAACAAAAAATTGAAACAATGACAATTGTTTTAACTACTACGCCAAAAACTTTGACGCTGAATATAAACAATGTTTCGTCGTTGTTACTTACTAAATAGCTCATAACAATACCATAGATAACTCTCATTAACGGAGTGCTTAAAGCCACATTTTTGGGGCACACTTTTAGGCGCAGTAGTTATATAAATTGATGAGTTTTGTCATTGTTTTGAGAATAGCGCGGTAAGAAGGAATAAAGAATCTCGTTCCTGTGTTAAGCAAACTACTTTCAGTCAGCCATTAAGAAGGCTGTAAATATGTATGTTCTTTTTCAAAAAAAAAGCATCACTCACTATAAAAAAATTGCTTTAATTTTGTTCCTTGGCGCTGTATTGGCGGCACCGTATGTGTAGTTACTAATTTAATTTGCCTTTTTTTGTTCGTCACTTGTAAAATTCTATCACTTATGCATATATGTAGGTACATATATTTTATATACATGTGTATATACTTATTTACTTATAAAGCTGTTGTTAATGCTTTTTTTTTGTTAATACATAAATACATACACACATACAATAAACAATTGTGAGAAATATGGTCGACAAATACTATTAGACTTATAATATAATACTCGTAGTAGTAATAAGTAATAGCGTATATAATACATATGTACATAGGTACTTGTGTATGTATGTATATGAAAAATTATTGAATAGAAATTTGCATGTATGTAGCTTATGTAACTCAGGCCAAAAATCGAAAGCCAAAATTACTCAAATCAGTTGTAAAATTGGAGCTTATTTTAGACTTAATAGTACGTATCGAATATTTAAGCTATAAATAGATGTACATATGTAATAGTGTCTAAGTTGGTCACGACTAATACACATCTTTGCGGTATTTCTTCGTCAACACCTTTCAGTTTGACAAAAATTCTTCACCGAAAATAAAGGTTATTTACTCACATACAATGGCAGGAAAGTAAATAGGGATCCGACATTTTAAAAAAGTTTCGCATTTTTTGTTTATTTAATTTTAATTATTTTTTATGAAAATTCTGCGAAATTTCATAAAAATTTCAAACTTTTTCATTAGAGTTAAAAAAAAAAAAAATTGTTGTCGAGCCCTAACCGCCAAAATGACGTAAGCGACATTTTTTCCAGAACATCTCGATGCATTTCTGCATTAAAAAGAAAATTTAAAAAAAAAATGTCGCTTGCGTTATTTTGGCGGTTAGGGCTCGATATGCAGTCTTATAACCCATTAAATTTTAGTGAAGTGCAAAATTTAAGTAACTGTGACTAACCGTGATTTCGGATATTTTTTTTGCGAACACTATCACGCCATTTCTTCCATATGTTCAGCAATGCTACTTACACTTTAGTATACTAAAATTTAATGGTCTACAAAACTGCATACCTAGAACTCTGAAAATTCTGAATAACAACTTTGACATTTTGATGAGCATTTGTTGAAATTCGTCGAATTTTTATAAATTTATACGATTTATCGTGTACAAAGTTGAAATTTTGACTTACATGGTTTTCGTTAGATAGTGAGCTATACATTTATAAAAAATAATAAACATTAAATACACGAAATAAAAATAGTCAAAACTTATTAAAATGTTGCTTCCCTATTTGTCTGGCCGCCACAGTATGTACAAAATTACTACCAGATTTCATAAGTTTCGGTTGAAAAAATAAAATAAAAAACCAGCCATATTCTGAAATTTGCACAATTTGAAA